GAATGCCTGGGGGCTGGAATGTGGGAAGGAGGCTACAGAGCAGAATTTTACCACCTGTACTCAGTGGCAAATTCAGTAGGACAGCACATGCAGAAGTAATAGTTCTTGTTCTTTCCTGTCTAATAGGAAGTGAAATTTCCTATGTGAAAAATCATTTGAAAGCATTATTTCACCAGACCGCCCACAGTTTAGTCCTGCTCTCAGGTCTAGTTATTTCACGCTGCAGAACCCCCTCAGGCTGTCCACATACCTCCTCTTGGGCACAGAAGGGAGCTGTAAGACTTCTCCACTAACACACCTTCTGGCTGCCAGGGCAGGAACATGAACATGGGACGGGAGAAACAAGAATACACACAAAATTCCCAAACATCAGCAAAATTTCAGAGCAAGTTCAGGTCTGAATTCAGTGGTTATGTCGCCAGGCTGTTAGGGACACCATCCTCCTCACCTTTGGCAGATCTGCACCAAAGCTGCCTGCTTCACTGCTCAAGAGAGCAAGAGCAAGCCTGAGGGACGGGGCTTTCTGGTCAGTGACCATATACAAAAGCTCATGTACAATGGATGACTGAGCAGGGAAAGGTACAGGGAGAAACACAGACAGGGTGTATGAAGGCAGATCAAGAAAGGGTGCCGCAAGAAGGAAATAGGCTTGGCTAGGTCCTGGGAGGGAGGGGGACAAAACAATCTGAGCCGCATCCTTGGTATGCTAGTGCTGGCCACAAAATGAAGAGAGAAAACCATTTAGCCCAGATCAGCCTCCCTTCCCGCAGGGGCAGGGATGCTCAGAGGGAGAAGCCAGCCTGCTCTCATACTGACCCGGACCAGCAAGTGTTTGACCAGTGTATGCCTCCGCCTCATGGTAGCTGGCAAGGGCTTCCTGCCCCCGCACCGTGGTGTGGTGTCCAGTACTTCTGTCCTCACTGTGATATTCAGAGTCCCTAGTAAATAAATTGAACAGAGCATGTTTCTTATCCATGTGGCCAAATGGAGTCAACTTGCTTTAACTGCGAGTGGTCTGAGATGCTTTGGGCAGCTGGTCTTCATAGCCTCCGTGGTCTGGCCAGTAAAGGTGAGCCAGCCAGTACCGATGGCTTGTTCAGACACCCTGAGCGTGAGGGAGCTGGGTAATGCCTCACCAGCAGTGACTTCATTGCACTACATACGGCTGCAACAACAGAAGGTCGAGCGGCCCCTTGGACTCCAGCGTACCCTTCCCATTGCATATGAAGCACAGCACCAGCAATACAAGGTTCCCGCACCCACAGCCATGCAGTCCCTTCCTCCCCAGCTGGTCCCAAAGCTCTCAAGAGTTCCCCATGCCACCCCTTCAGTTCCTGCCCTCTCTGATAAGCCCGTCTAAGAAAAAAGTCAGCTGGCATGACGGCTCGTATGTTTGAACCACTAAGAACAAACTTTGGGATCCAGAGGAGACAAGATTCTGCCAGTGTCTCTGCACCTCCCACTCCCTCTCACTTCAGTTTTAGGGTTCCCCATCACCACTTCCATTTTTGCTGCCGTACCCAGCTGGACTGCTGTCACATTCCACGTGAAGGTCTTGGACTCCTCTGCACACAGACACTCCTTGTCCCTGCAGGTCCGGCATGGCTCCACCTGGAAGTCTGAGGATTTAGCCAGGGCCACGTGGATCTGAAGGAATGACAGATGCAGGCGAGTGGCTGACAGGAGAGACAGTTTGGTACAATGCGCTCTAAAACTGGAGGGCATGGTAGGTCTGTCCCACACAGTGTTTGTTACCTGTGGCACAGGCACATACCTGTAGGCACTGCTGCAGGTAGCTGAAGACGGTAGCTTCCAGCACAAAAGTCTCTCCTCGGATGACAGAATATGGCAGCATCACATCCACAAAGAAGGGCTGGACTGTTCTGAGACTCGTGGTCGGGGCAAGGCCAAATCCCTTCCCAGCCAAGCAGAACATCTTGACTTTCCACTCTGCCGCAGCAGCCGGCGCTGTGACTGGAACGGTCCTGCTGCTGTTGGACCTGAGAGGAAGACAGCACTTGCATGAAAAAATTCATCCCACTCCACTGCAATGGGGAGGGCTCATGGCTCTGGGTGAGAGAGGTTATGCAGGTCCTCATGCTCAGATCAACCTTGGCTAGATTAACAATGACTTCTGCTCCGGTGGCTCACAGCAAGGCAGCTCTCAGCAATTTGTTCCCTAAAGCCTTAAACCCTGCTTAAATGCCATCAGTAATGGCTTTGTACCCTTCTCCTGAGCAAGCCTGAGCATTCCAGCTCTGTGCACTCAGTCAACAGCATGATGTTCTGGAAAGCAGCAGCACTGTATCCTCCCGAGTGCTGATTCATCAGTCTTAATCTAAGCACTGTGGCAACGAGGGCTGCAAATTTCACCGGTGCACCCACCAAATGGAGAACTTTTGAGTGTACCCCAATGTGTGAAGAGAGGATACTTGATGGTTTGGTCTTGAACTGTATTGCTCTTCTCTAAATCTGTGTAGACTTCAGCTCTGCACCTCAAAGTCTACTAGTCCTTCAGTGTGATGCACTACAAATGCAGGGAAGAGTCACAAAATTCACATGCAGATCTCTCTTGACACCTACGGCTGGACTTCTGCACAAATGCAAGTCAGTCAAGACTCAGTAACAAAGGAATCACAGAATCATCGAATCATTGAGGTTGAAAGAGACCTCAAAGATCATCAAGTCCAACTGTCTACCCAACGCCACCATGCCCACTAAACCATGTCTCGAAGTGCCATGTCTAAACGTTTTTTGAACACCTCCAGGGATGGTGAGTCCACCACCTCCCTGGGGAGCCCATTCCAATGCTTAACGACTCTTACAGTGAAGAAATTCTTCCCAATATCCAATCTGAACCTCCTCTGGCATAACTTGAGGCTGTTGCCTCTTGTCCTAAGTCATCCTTCTGTCCATTTGTAAAGTTCAGCATCACTTACCCAACAGAGTACAGATTCCAGATCCAAGTTTCAGGGAAATAGCGGAGAAGTCTTCCCTGGGTTGTAAACTGGGGTTTTTCTTTCGTGATTCTTTGGTCTTCTGTAGAAGGTCCCCCTGAAAGAAAGAATAAGGAGCCCCACCAGAGTGGGAGAGGTGAACCCTGTCAATGACAGACAACCTAGCACTGGGGTAAGAGGCAAATCAAGCAATAAGAGAAATGAAGGAAGAGTCTGGCAGAGGAAAACACAAGGAATTGGTCTGATTTGGTAGGAGAGGGAAAATAGGAAGGGAAAAGAGTGGCAACAGCAAAACCAGCTTGCAGTGAGATGGTTGCAAGTTTTCCAAGAGTTGGTTAGACAAAATCCCTTGCTGACCTGACCCAGAGTTGATGTTAAAGAGACTAGGAACCTCCAGAGAGCCATTTTAACTAAATTATGTGAATAACAATGCTGTTTGCTGGTCTGCAGAAAACTCACAGCCCTCTGCAAGCAATGTTTTAAATATCAGCAGGCGTGTGAGCCAGCTTAGTATGATTATCTAGTGCAAACTGCCACATAGAGGAAGGAAGCGACTGTCCCTGCAGCCACAGGTGGGGATAGAAGCCAGGTCTCAGCACAGCCTGTAGGGCAGTCACTGGTAAACAGATCCCAGTTTGTGCCAGGAAAGGGAATGCCATCCTTTCATGCCAGGGAACATCCAGGTAGTAACATTCTTCGGAGTTCTTTTTGTAAGGACTGGGTCATTCCTGCCGAGGCTGGTGGACTGGGCAGCTAGGCTATGGCAGCAGCACCTGTTACTCCTCAGAGGGCCAATATCCATCACCAGCAAACCCCAGAGGTCTTCCATCTGGGCAACCTCATGTCTAATCTCATGTCCCAGGTAGGCTGAAAGCGCAGCTCACCCATGGTCGGCTTCCTATCTGCCCGACGAAAGCACTGAGATGGCTTCTTGATTACAAGGTTTGAGAAGATTTTCAGTCCCAAGTTCTGTTAGGAAAAGAAGAAGGGCAGGGGAGGTAGAAAAGCATCTGTGAGTGGGGACGAGCAGCCACAGCTCTTCAAATTATTCTGAAAACCATTGGGGCCAGGACGGCCCCTGGCCAAATAGCACTGCCTGTCTTGTGTCCATGCTGCTTACGGCTAGTCCTTTCTAGAGATCAGCCTTCAAGACACCAAGATATCTGCCTGCGAACAGCCCAAAACAGTGCCAGAGAGTGAGCTAACAACTAAGCCATGTCAACGATCCGTGGTCTAATGCTTGGGATCACTCCCTGTCTCTCTTTAATGCTGTAGACAAACAGTATGCAGCCCAAGACGTCATTCCCAAGGTCAAAAAGTTGAGTTTTGCTGGTCCAGGATCTCATAATCTTGCTTTCTACATCTGTGGAGAGGAATACAGGTGTTCATGCTCATAATAGGATTGTATGTCTCTTGAGAGAGCACAGCTTGGGCAGGACAGACAGCAGGAGCTGCCTGGAGAAGGCAAGATCTTCTCAGACTGCTTGGGGAGAAAGACATCTCAGATACTTATAATTTCAACAGTTCTGGGAAAAGTCACAAGGTGATTACCCGGAAGATGTTAAAGATGTCAGGCTGAAAGGAATGCTGTGGCTTCCCTCGTAGCAGAGATGATGTGGACTGGGGCTGAACACAGTGATCTGAATGCTCTTCTACTTGGGCAGGGTATCCATGTCGGTAGGCAGCAGGGAACAAACCATAGACCTAGGGAAACTCACAGGCAGGGAAGAATCGGGCAAGGAGCAGATGCCTCCAGATGCTTCGCTCCACCCTCCCCTAGCGTATATATCTGTTCCTGCCCATCTCTCTAGGCAGACCCCGCTTTCTACTCCACACAAAGACCTCCTCATCCAGGAGAATCACAGGATCATCAGGGTTGGAAGGGACCCCTGGAGACACCCAGTCCAACCTCCCTGCCAAAGCAGGGTCACCTACAGCAGGTTCCAGAGGATCGCATCCAGGTGGGTTTTGAATAT